TCATTATCCTACTAATCAGAAGCTTCTTGATCATTTCTGCTATCTTAAATCTTTAGAAGTGTATCTCTTTTCACTGTGAGTTTCCTTATATAGAATGTGGCATAAGCAGACCTAATCATTTACTTTCTAAGTTTACAGAAATTTGTGTGTCATAGAGCTATGTAGCAAAATAAAATTTCTGAAACTGTAGATTTAGAGAGAAATAGAAAAATGCTTTTTAAAAATACTCATTCTGTGGCGTATCTTAAATATTTCAAAATCATTTAAATTTCGAGTCTTAACAGGGCAAGGGTAGAAAGAATTCAGTACAAAAGCAATTTAAACTTCTTTTCAGAATGCCATATCTGAACCACATCCCTACAGTGGTAAGTGAGATCTTGTTTCAGATTCTTAACCCAAGACTTTAGATTTTAAAATCATGAAAGGCTGGTCCAGAGGTATTGAGTTACCTCAATTGATTTTTCACAGTCACAGATTGAACTCCTTATTTTGCTCTTTCCCCCCTTCTCACTACTGCATTTGATTAGTAAATAAATAAATAAATATTTTAAAATATAATTTAAAAGTTATAAATAAAATCATAAAAACTCTATATTTGTGTGGTGCTTTTATAATTTGATTTCACAGACATTTCAGTTGTTTCAACAACTCTAAATCATATGGATTGTTATTAAAATCCCATTTTATTATAATTGTCCATGTAGAGTACAGTTGACCCTTGAACAACACAGGAGTTGGGGTACTGACACCCTCCCCCACGCTGGAAGTCAGAAATCCACGTATAACTTTTGACTCCCCAAGATTTAACTACAAATAGCCTACTGTTGGCTGGAAGCCTTACCTACAATATAAGTAGTCGATTAACACATATTTTGTTGTTATGTTTATTGTGTACTGTATTCTTATAATAAAGTAAGCTAGAGAAAAGAAAATGTTAAAAACATAAGGAGAAAATATATTTACTGTTAAGTGGAAGTGGATCATCATAAAGGTCTTCATCCTTGTTGTCTTCACATTGAGTAGGCTGAGGAGGAGGAAGAGGAGGGGTTAGTCTTGCTGTCTCGGGTGATAGGAGAGGTAGGAGAGGCAGACGCACAAGGTGTAACTTTATGGAAATACATTGTAATTTCTGTCTGACTTTTACTTTTTCATTTCTCTAAAAATGTTTCTATATGGTACCAATCCATCTTCCACCATATGCTTTAGTTTCAGTGCCCATGTCATAGAAGGGTCTATATTGTAAAAGAAATCAAAAGTCATCTTGAATAGTCAGAAACCTTCTGCCAGGTTGTCTAATGTCAATTTGTTTTCCGGCACTGCTTTGTCTGCATTTTCTTCCTCATTGTCTGGCACTGGTTCAGAATTTCTCATCTCCATGAAGTCATCTGTTAATTCCTCTGGTGTGGTGTCTGTTAGCTCTTGAATTTCTCTAAGATCTATATCTCGAAACTCTTAACTCTGCTACCCCCTGCTTTTTTTTGGCCACGATTTCCTTGATTGGCTCTATCATAAATCTGTGAAGTCACAGAAGTACAACATCTGGACAGAGATTTCTCCAGCAGGAATTTATTGTTTTGGGATTGATGGCTTTCATAGCTTTTTCTATAACCATGGCGTCTTCAATGGTGTAATCCTTCCAGACTTTAATGGTGTTCTTTCTGCTGGAGTTCTCTTCATAGCATTGACAATTCTTTCCATAGAGTGTTATGTATAATGAGCCTTAAGGGTCCTTAGGACCCTCTGATCTAGAGGCTAAATTAGAGACGTGTTTGGAGGTGAGTAGACCACTTTGACAGCCTTTTGGTGTTGGGCTCATGGGGTTCTTGGTGGCCAGAGACATTGTCTGATATCAAAAGAACTTTAAAAGGCAGCCCTCTACTGGCAAGGTACTACCTGATCTCATTGATGGAACCAGTCCAGAAAAAGGGTTCTTGTGCAGGCCTTCTTGATGTATTTATACAACCAAAAGACTGGCACCCGTTGTTCATCTTTTCTCTTCAAGGCTCAAGAGTTAGCAGCTTTACAGATAGGTACAGTCCTGATCATAAACCCTAGTGCATTTGCAGAAAACAGTAGAGTTAACCTATCCCTTCCTACCTTAAATCCTGGAGCTCGTTTCCCTTCCTTACTGATAAATATCTCCTTTATTTATTAGTGCCATATTTTTCTAGAATAGGGCACTTTCTGTGCATTAAAACCTATTCTGGGCCGGGCGTGGTGGCTCACGCCTATAATCCTAGCACTCTGGGAGGCCAAGGCGGGCGGATTGTTTTTGAGCTCAGGAGTTTGAGACCAGCCTGAGCAAGAGCGAGACCCGTCTCTACTAAAAATAGAAAGAAATTAATCGGACAACTAAAAATATATAGAAAAAATTAGTCGGGCATGGTGGCGCATACCTGTAGTCCCAGCTACTCGGGAGGCTGAGGCAGAAGGATTGCTTGAGCCCAGGAGTTTGAGGTTGCTGTGAGCTAGGCTGACTCCATGACACTCTAGCCCGGGCAAAAGAGTGAGACTCTGTCTCAAAAAAAAAAAAAAAAAAACCTATTCTGGCAGATACCCTTTCTTCTCAGTGATTTTCTTAATGCTATCTAGGAACTTATCTGCTGCCTCTTGGTCAGCAGAAGCTGCTTCTCCTGTTATCTTGACATTTTTTAAGCCAAACGTCTTTCAAAATTATCAAACCATCCTTTGCCTGTGTAGATTTTTCAGCTTTATATCCTTTACCTTCCTTTTGCTTTTAAGTTACCGTATAATAACTTTACTTTTTCTCAAATCGTATTAGAATCTATAGCTATTCCTTTCTTGTAGCAGTCCTGCACCCACATAAAGGCTGCATTTTCAATACAAGATAAAAAGATATTTCACAAAAAGTGCAAGGTTTTTGTGCCTGTTTGGATAGCTGTAGCGACACATTCATGAATTTTTTTTTTTTTACAGTGGTCCTTACACTAGAAATCAATATTGTTAAAGCAAGATCTGTTTACCCAGTCCAGTTTAATCAAGTGACTTTTTTCAAATACTAGTCACATTTTAATTTGATCGATTGAAAATTCAGGTGAATTGAGCACATATCCACGAGTTCCATTCTGAAAGAACAAAGCAGTTCTTTAAACGAGAAATGTTGTTTCTCTGCTTAAAAATAATGACTAATATGTCTTAATTTTTAACTTATAAGCTTTTAAGATTTTGGCTATTTCATGGTGAAAAGACTTTAGGCAACTTCTGACATTGATGTTTCAGGGCAAAAATAGGAGGTGTAATGTCAGTCACCTGTGGAATATCTGTCTGGGCCTACCTTTGCCTCTTGAGAAAACCAAGGATAAGTAAGATTTGTAAGGAATCTGTAATCGAAAGTGCTTAGTTTGCAGAGGAAAGTTATTCAGCTTTAAAAAAGAAGGTAATTCGGACACATGCTACAACATGGATGAACCTTGAAGACATTATGCTAAGTGAAATAAGCCAGTTACACAAGGACAAATACTATATGGTTTCACTTATGTTAGGTACATAGAGTAGTCAAATTCATAGAAACAGGAAATAGAATGGTGATCGGGTGGTTTCCTGGCGGGAGAGGGGAATGGGGAGTTCGTGTTTAATAGGTACAGAGTTTCAGTTGGGGAAGACGAAGAAGTTCTGGAGATGGATGGTGGTAATGGTTGCACAGCAGTGTGAAATGTATTTAATGCCACAGAATTGTGCACTTAAAAATGGTTAGTGCTTGCTTCAGCAGCACATATACTAAAATTAGAACAATACAGAGAAGATTAGCAAAAGAAAAAAAAAGTTAAAATGGTGTATTTTGTGTTATGTATATTTTACGATAATAAAAGAAGAAGGAAAAAAGCGCTTAGTCTGAAATGGGGACACTGTGAGTACTCAAGGGTAGAAAGCAAGAAAACATAAAATCAGACTCACCTGCCAGGAGTGGGCATGTGTAATTTTTAAGCTGACTCCTCAAACCCTTTTGAGAGCATGGAGAAGGGAATATGATAGTAACGTGTAAGTATGTCATTCTTCAAGGGCATTTCAGAATCTGGGAAATTGGAGATAATCTACAGTAAAATCTCACCAATTTGGACCAAATACAGAAAGGATGATTTGAATCAGTGTAACATTTATATTGATTCTTTTTAAAGCAATTTTATTTTCAAGTGCATAACAGAGTCACAAACTGTGTATGTAACAAAATAATGTTGGCTCGTAGAGAGGTCTTTGAGGTACCTTTGAATGAATAGATAATTTGTAATTAGGCATTTAATTATTGAACACTTTAATAGCGGTGCAAATATTTTGTTGGATTTTAATTGATGTTCCTGAAGTACTTATAAAGCATTTCTGTTTCTCTTCAAGTAAATCTGAGTTCACCATTTCTTAAACGCTTGTTTTTCTAGATTCAGAATTAACTAAACTATAATTTCATTTGCAATCTAATTCTTTATTTAGTGATATCTGAGTTTAATGAGGCTTTCTCTATAGTTTTATGTTCTGAATCTTTATGTTCCGATTGTTATGGCTATCCCTGAAGAAATTATGCCAAGGAAATGTTTCTGTTATTATTTATTTTTATCCTTCCTATACACTGATCCTGGGTTTTTTTGTTTGTTTGTCAGTTACCAATATTTATTAATAGATCAAAAATCCTTAACTACTGACATCAGGCAATGTGTGGATTTTGATTTTAGTTATTAATTCTATAGGTCAAATGAAGACTAAGCATGTCATAGTATGTAATAGTGTTTTGAAGCCCTGATATAGATTCTGAATACTGTGTTTTTAATATGTGCTCACTAAGTGTTCTATAAAATACGTACCAACATTTTACTTTAATTACTTAATGGCTTTTACCTTAAGTTAATTTCTGTTACAAGAAAACATATGTAAAAATAGAGCTTAGCAGTCAAATAGAAGTTGAAATATGGGATGTGAATGTTTGTGAATTTTAAATGTGCAGGTTTATCTTTTACTGCATTGGGAAAAAATTTTTTTCTTTTTAATTTTAGTAAAAAGTCCCAGAAGTGGGATGAAATGAACATCCTGGCAACATATCATCCAGCAGACAAGGACTATGGTTTAATGAAAATAGATGAACCAAGCACTCCTTACCATAGGTAATGTTACATAGATATCATTCCTGTTGTGACTTGTTTCCATTTTGCAGTAGTCAATAACCTAACTACATTTTTTTTAATAATAGAAGTACTGTGTAACTTTAAAATTATGGAATCCATTTTGTACATTATAATTGTAGAACACATTTATTTGTTGCACTTCAGTGGTCACTAGCTACTAATAATGCACAAAGATTAGTGAGTTTTGCCTTCCTTGAAAGGAAGGTGAGATTTGGGCTTGTTTGCTTCCCGAGTAGAAATCAGGGGCTTACTCAGTCTCTTTGCAAAAAAGGTTAACTACATGGATGATAACTCTGTTTCAACCCACTGAAAGATAGATGGTCATTACTATTATTTCATGTCTTTATTTTTGAATTTTTGTAATATTGTGGTTCAGATAATTACATTGTGATTTTTGGCAGTTTCATGTCTCAGAATTTTTTAAATGAATTGCGAAATGACACTGTGTGGCCATAACCAGTATGAAGACAAAAATAATGCACCAGTAAGCATTATAAGGAGTTGGAGATTCTAAATAAGTAGAAATACCTAATTAAGATTGTGCCATAACTTGTATTGAATAAATAAAGACTTCCGGGACTAAAATATTTTGTTGTTGAAGTAAGAAAACATAAATCCAGAAGTTACCGTTAAAATAGAGTCAAGAAATAGTGTATTTTAAATCAATGGATGAAAACTTTGGAAGATAATTTGAGATAACCTGATACTAACAAAAACGGTAAAAATAAGAATATATACGAAGGCTGGGCGCGGTGGTTCACGCCAGTAATCCTAGCACTCTGGGAGGCCAAGGCAGGCGGATCGTTTGAGCTCAGGAGTTCGAGACCAGCCTGAGCAAGAGCGAGACCCTGTCTCTACTATAAATAGAAAGAAATTGGCCAAACAATTAAAACTAGAAAAATTAGCCGGGCATGGTGGCGCATGCCTGTAGTCCCAGCTACCTGGGAGGCTGAGGCAGGAGGATCGCTTGAGCCCAGGAGTTGGAGGTTGCTGTGAGCTAGGATGACACCATGGCACTCTAGCCCAGGCAAGAGAGTGAGACTCTGTCTCAAAAAAAAAAAAGAATACGTATGAAGATAGTAAAGATTGTGACAAGGGTAGAAAGAAATAATGAAACAGGAGGTACAGATACTAAAACCCAATACTAATGAAATTGGAGTGAAGAAATAGACATTTTATGAAGAGTTTTATACATTATTTTTCTCCTGATTCCAAGTATATACTTCGAAGCATGTCTATTTTCTTTCTTTCTTTTTTTTATTTTTATTTTTTAGAGAGATGATTCTCACTACGTTGCCTAGGCTAGAGTACAGTGGCTGTTCACAGGCAGAGTCATAGCGTGGTACTACAGCTTCAAACTCCTTGGCTCAAACGATCCTCCCACCTCAGCCTCCCAAGTAGCTGGAACTATAGGCACATGCCACTGTAGCCAACTTCTGAAACATTTCTTAAGACATTTATTGTAGCAGAATCCAAAGTCAGAGCTTTCTTCCTTTTCAATAAATGTCGTGGCCATCCCTCACTTATTCGTGTAGTTGGGGATGACCATCCCAAAAGAGTTAAGATCTGGCATGATTTTAAAAAGTAGTTGTCATTATTTTATGACTGTTTATATTTAAAATATGATATGAATGACAGGTATTTGCTGAAAAGTTACTTTGTCCCTAAGTAATTAAGAATATATGTATGAACAGATAGATGTGCTCAGCTTTCGTCAATTCCTTTCATGGCTTTTTTTTGGACAGTGTCTTGCTCTGTTGCCCAGGCTAGAGTGCAGTGGCATTGTCATAGCTCATTGCAACCTCAAACTCTTGGGCCCAAGCGATCCTCCCACCTCAGCCTCCCAAGTAGCTGGGACTACAGGCTTGCACCACTATGCCCAGCTAATTTTTATGTTTTTTGTAGAGAAAGGGTCTTGCTGTGTTGCTCAGGCTGATCTTGAATGCTTGGCCTCAAGCAGTCCTCCTGCCTCAGCCTCCCAAAGTGCTAGGATTATAGGTGTGAGCCACCGTACTCAGCCAGAAGATGCTTTTTATAGACAGTCCATATCTTACTACTTAAGAATCTCACATTATTAGCATACAGAAAGTTATTATTCCTTTTATATACATACATAAACACATGCATATAATTCATCTATAAATTTTATAACATAAATAGAATTTTCTGTAGGACAGTTCCACAAATTGACAAATTGTTTATTTTACCCTACTCTGTTTAATTAAATCCAATAATGTAGATGAGTTTATTTCAACTTCCCTTGGGAAAAAAGAGTATAATCTAAACTATATCACTTACCTATCTCCTTAATTAACCAGGAAATGTATAAACTCACAGTTTTTTCTGTATAACTGGGTTCTGTTTTATATACCTTTCAGTGGCTTGAGAACTAAGGATGCTCATTTTTGCAATGAAGTGGGAGCAAATTTTTCATTAGAGGGTCTAGTGGGAAAGCTAAATAGCTTTTAAATTTCCTGAATGAGGTTCTTAGGATCTAATTTTGTTATTTTACCTAGTCCTGTATCTGCTAGATCATTTGCCTTGACCATAAGATTGATATACAAATACTTACTCTAAAACTAAACAGTGGTTTATTTTGCATTACTTATTCCCTCCCATGGAATCAGTCAAACTTTGTAGTGTTTTTATTTTTTTCAGATGATCAAGTTTTCAGTACAGTCGTCCCTCAATATCCATGGGGAATTGGTTCCAGGACCTCTCTCAGATACCAAAATCCACAGGCACTCAAGTCCCTGATACAAACAGGCATTGTATGTGCATATAACCTATGCACATCCTCTTGAATACTTTAAATCATCTCTAGGTTACTTATAATACATAATACAATGTAAATGCTATGTAAATAGTTGTTATATTGTTTAGACAGGAATAATAACAAGAAAAACATCTGTCCATGTTCAGTACAGCTGCAGTTTTTATTTTCAATGACTATGTCAGTCCACATTTGGTTGAATCCATTGATGTAGAACCCATGGATATGGAGGGCTAACTATTTTTATGGTTACTTTTTTTTAATCAGTTGGAGTCTTTTCTTGGTTGGTGCTATGCTTTTAAATATTTGCATTGAATAGAAACTATTTAAAAGTTAAACCTCAAAGATGATGACAGAGCTATAAATATATTGATATATTAAACTAGGTTGATAGAATTATGTTTTTCTACCTTGTTTTTCTTGTTGAAAAATTATATTTCAAGTATTAAGTACAATGTGCTTGTCATCCTAGTATGATAGGTGAAGATGAAGATGTACATAGTGATTCAGAAACCACTGAAGCCATGACTCCAGATATCTTAGCTAAGAAGTAAGTAC